AATATTTAGCTAGTCACAGTTTGTTGTAAGCTAATATGCTAATTGAAGCTCACAATTGTCCACGATAGAGTGGACACACACATGACAGGGTGGACACAGCATTCATTTGCAGTTAATATTGCTAAACACTAAAATGAACACATTTCAGTGTGATGGAGGATGTAATTTTATTATTTATTATTATTATATTACTTTTTTGCAAAGTTGAATAAATGTTTCATTGTCATAGTTTGTCATGCTTTGTGTGTTCTGCTTTACGTGTCCACCCCGTCATGTGCTGGTCCACCCTGTCATCTTGATATTTTAAATATAATATATATAATATAATATATTATAATGATATTCTGTATGGCGTATCTTGTCAGTGTCTGCGCTTGCTTGGCCATTTGTTGTGGAGAAAATAAGGAAAGTGTGTTCAAGCGCCAGCAGAAAACTGTAAAGAAATAGTCTTTGAGAGAAGCAGTCTTTATCGGCGGAAGTTAAAAGCAGCTCGTAAGTGTTTAGCACAGTTGTCGTTGCTAGGAAACGCTTGTTTTGTGTGTAAGTTTACTAGCGGAAAATGAGCCAGAAAATGCCCCACACCCCGGATCAGTCACAGAAATAAAGACAGATCACAGCATTTCGACATGTAGGCTTATTGTAAAATAGACTAATATGTATATGGTGTAAATTTTTTAATGTTGTGTATAAACTATATTTATTTTTACTTATAAATGTTTTTATTAGTTTTAATTTTAAAGTCATAGTTAAATAAAAGTACTTAGATATTGCTTTTTTGACTTATTTACATATGTAACGAAGTAATCCAAAAGTAATCAGATTACATTACTTTTATATTGCGGCGCTTGGATTACGTTACTGAATACTTTTTTAATGAAGTCATTTGTAACTGTAACGGAGTACATTTTAAAAATAACCCTCCCAACCATGTGTGTATATATATATATATATTAGGGCTGTCAATCGATTACAGTTTTTAATCTGATTAATCACATCCTTTTTCTGTGATTAATCACGATTAATCGCACACTTCATGAAGCACTTGTAAGCATTTTAATTTACATAACATCTTGATTGATTAACAGACCATTATGTAATGTTTAATAAATGCATTAGTAAGCATTAACAAGCACATTATCTCATATATTTCTAACTATGTGAATATATATTATCTAATGATCTGTTAAGCATTATGTAATGTTTGTTAATGATTTATTAATGAAAGCTATTATAAAAAGTGTTACTAAGATGGTGTATTTGTTTTTAAATCTTTACATGGCACAGTTCATCCATAAATTGCCGACCCGATTCAGAAGCAGTGGAGATTTTTATGACCTCAGTCACAGAATTTCTCAGTTGTTCCGAGGATGAATCTGAAATCTAGAGGTGACCGCACTTTTGGAACAGTTCACCACAGTATAGAAGACAATCATCAACTCTTAGTGAGTTTAAAAGCCGTTTAAAAACTTCTTTTTTTAACGTAAGCGGTTTTCGTACTTGAGTGTCGAGGTATTGTTGACACAGGTATTGGTATTTAGAGTTTGAAGATGTTTGAAGATTTTTTATGACTTAAGGGTTAAAAGTCTGAGAGAAGATGTCGTGTATATTTTTCAATTACGGTTGTTTGTGTTTCTTAGATTTTTAATGGTTT